GTAAATCACTGTCCTTTCAAAACATCACTTCAGTAAAATACGTCGGATAAAATTAATATATGTCAGTCATTTTTCTAAACTATTTATTTTGAAAGTGGCTTAAGTCACTTTACCGTAATGAAAAGTGGTGATTTTTTAATGTTTATACGAAATTATTTATACTGAGAAAAATATCAGTATCCTGAGATAATAAATACAAGTAAATCTTCTCGAAAGTTAGCATCCATATTTTAAAACGTGTTAAAACTCAAACCCTTAAATATATCGACTTCAAAACAAAGTGACTTATGCCACTTTCAAAATAAACGGCTCATTTGGTTAATTGTAGTCGCGTTAACCACTAATCCGAATAATTAGCTACACAGTTTATTATTCGTTGTACATTTTGGTGTGTTTTAAATGCGCGAAAATCGCGCGATCTAATTTACACTGTATCTACCACCTTTTGTAGGTGACTCGCTTGTGCACCTGATACCAAATTACCGCGATTCTAAAAATCTCTCGGGTTGTATTACGCTAAGTGATGGAACTAATTGGCATCGCTGTTCGTCTAATTAAAGAGAAACAGCTGTTTTGATAAATAAGTATAGTATTTACAATATATATAGTTGAATTTTACAAGAACGAACTTCAGGGATATTGTAATCGATCGATAGTGGATTGTTGAATTGAACGTTGTTGTTGCGAGTCTTAACACGTTATCCCATTAAATGTCAAACTTCTCTTTTTGAATTTTTGACAGGAAAAGTTATGTATATGAACAAAAAGTTGTGTAACAATATAATTATATTCAAATTATGTTTTATTGTTAAAATATTTTATATTTTGTAAAAAGTCCCAAATGGGGATTATGGCAGGTTACATGAACAAATTTTTTTTATTGTGTGAAAAACAAAAGACTAAGTAACACATAGTTACTGTAACCTCTAGATTGCATATTTATGTATGGTATTTAATTATAATATAGTAACCGAACCAAAAATATCATGCTTCAAATATAATATTAGGTCTGCCGGAAAGTTCTGTCCGTTTTTGAATTGAAGTATAACACAATTTTCATACATTTAATAATATTTATTGTAGAATATACTTTCCATCGTTACTTATGACTTCTTGCCAGCATGATGGCAACTTGTAAATGTCATTTCTAAAAAATGATTTATTTTTAGAGGCGAAGAACTCGACTAGTGCTTGGTTGACATCAGCTTCAGTTTTGAATTTTTTTTCCTGTAAAAAGTTTTGCAAAGAGAGAAACAAGTGATAATCGTCGGATGCTAGGTCTGGGGAGTATGATGGATGCGACAGAATTTCCCAGCCTAGCTCTGCGATTTTCTGACGAGTCGCCAAAGCAGCATGTGGTCTGGCATTATCATCGGTAGCCATGTTTTCACGATCGCGTCTCACTTAATAATGACATCAGACATCTTTGTTTCAGTTTATTTAGGAGAGTACATGTGTGTAAATGCAATGATAAAGAGAGATGGTCATATATGTTTCAAATCAACATGTGCATATGGATTGAAACTTGAAGTGACACTATCGGACAGAACTTTCCGGTAGACCTAATAATTTTGTTGTGTTCAACTTACAGATGATTTCCAAATTTGTTCACTTCTTGAAAAGAAACGAAACATAAAATACACACCGTCTGCTATAAACAACATTTACTGATATTTATAAAATGACGTTAAACTGTCAAACCCACCTGATATATTCTTCGCCACTTCAAGTAGTGTACGTAAAATTCTAAAATCCCCAAATGGTGATCGTGTCAGTTAATGGTTTAAGTGCCGAATATTAACTCGAAAAATTAGCACAATATCAAAGTCATTTAATTAATGATACCGAAACTAGAAAGTGAAAATTTACCATAGGAAATATCAGTTCAACTATTTCGTTTTCTACAAATCCTAGTAACATACAATTTATTCAATATATTACAATAAAAATGAATCTCAAAAACCTAGTTAAAAATTAGTGTCATCCATAAGTGACTCGCACGGTACTGAACGACAAGAACCTTGAAGACTGAATTTGAATCACTATAAAATAGACTAAACTCGATGGTCTAAGGTTGGAAGACTAAGATAAACGGCTGGCTAACTAGAAATCTAGCGTTGGGCTGAAATCGACTAGAGCAGACTGAAAGATTAACTGAAACAGACTGGCAGACTGAGACCGACTGCGAATCAGAGAGAGAGAGAGAGAGAGAGAGAGAGAGAGAGAGAGAGAGAGAGAGGGAGGGAGAGAAAGAAGGAGGAGGGGAGAGATTAAAGCAAATTTAAAGACAACCGACTGAATCAAACTGAGAGCAAGGTGTATTGCTTTTCAGTTTTTATAATCTTCGAAGACAGAGAACTAGAAACTGATTGACTAGTAACGAGATGGAAAAGAAAGTAAAAATGTCACGTAGCGCGCAATGCCACAAGTAGCGAGAAATCCCGAGCAGGTGACAGAAGCGGTGCGAGCTAGCGAGCCTGCTATACAACGAAAATATGCTGCCGATGCAGTACTCTATTGTACAGAAGTGCAAAGATCACTTGATTGCCGGAAAGAAGAAAGCTTCGACTCTAAGAAATTACAAACCTAAGAAACAGAAAAAAAGAAGGGTATGACTCTACAAAATTGAAAACCTAAAAGACGAGTCTTGTTGTTAACACTAGACTTACGGAACACGTCAAAATGACGGATCACTAATTTTTTAATTTATGATCATTCATATCGTAAAGATACATTTATGAGTTATTTAAACTTATATGTTACTTACGGCAAATGTTACAATAATAACACTTGTTAAAAATCAGCATAAATGGCTTATTGTTACTTTTATAAATTAATATAAAACAGCTGTTTCCTTGATATAAAATATTAATATATTAATAAAATAGATGTCTCGCTAAGCCAAAGGGAATTCCTTGGAAATTAAGCTACTTCAAACTTGAACAGAAAGCAATTCGTTTTGAAGAAAATCAGATGGACGAAGAATAAAGATTCCTTTGAGGGATGGAACAACCCTTGTATTAGGAATGTGCGAAAATTCGAAAGAATGAAACCAAATTTTACTCGATTCGAAAAAGCGAACGCATTCGAATAATCGATTAAACCGAATACTCGAATCAAATCGAGTCGCTCGGATAGAAGCGAGCAGTTCGTTTATTTTATCGATTCGTGTTACTTGGAAATTTCGCATCTTGCGAAAGCTGTAAAGCAATTTCCGAGGTTCCGCCGAGTGGCATGTTTTTCCCGACAATATATAGCTGTCGAAAAGAAAATCTGGGAACTTTGAGAGAAACTTAAACAATTTCGAAATTAGAAAAATGATGACTTCCCTCCCTTCCTCCCCGCTCATTAATTACATACGACCAGCACAATATATCTCATTATCATCAAAATCCCTGACATCAAGGTATAAAAGTAATCGATTTTGCTTGAAATGACCCGAACAAATAATAATCAACTAAATTAATACAATATATTAAATAGCTAATACATTACAATAAATTCTAATAACTACATTGTAATAAATATCATATTCTTATTACCATTGTCATAGTATAAAATACAATTCCTTTTACCGATAAATTTTCCGAATAATTTAAATAAATTTTCCTCGTCGATGACTGTCACGAATAGCTGGATTAAATTTCTTTCATCGAAGATTATTACACGATTGCTGAATACAATTTCCGCGATCAATAAGGATTATTACCAACGAACAAAATTTTCGGTTAATTGCAATTGAGCCGTTTATTTTGAAAGTGGCATAAGTCACTTTTTCAAAAAAATCGAGTTAATGGTAACACTAATTACAATTGAACGGTATCTTTTCATTTTTTAAAAATTTGCAATCAATAAGTTGAGAACTATTGAGATTTTTTCGAGAGAAGTTTTGCTAATTAACGGTATAACAAACATGTTTATTTTGAAAGTGGCGTAAGTCGCTGTACTCAGGAAATTAATTGCGGGGCTTAGTGTAAAAGAAATAGAAACGTGTGATAAGTGTGTGTGAAGTATTGTTTTGAATTATTTTCAGTATTTTTGAAAAAGTTGTGATCACTGGACTTATTTTTATAAGTGCGAAAGAATAGTGCAGTTTTGTAAATTATATTATAGTGATAATAATAATATAATAATATAATAGAAAAATGGATCCGTTATACGCTGGATCTCGTCCTGTTTTTTCAGCAAAATACAAAGACATGATGGACTTGGTTAATTATATACCCCCAATATATCACAGTTATTTTAAAATTTCAAACAAAATATGATTTCTGAGGACTTAATCACTCCTATTGATGACGAAAATTAAATTGAAGTGATGTATTTTCATATAAATTACTTATACTTATGTTTCAAAATGTACTAATTATTTTTGTATTTTATGAATATTAAAATAAAAAATACTTAAATCAAACCTTTATATTAAATATGTTCATGGTATAGATTATTATTATATATGTAATATATTCAACAATTTTATATTTTCAACAATTTTATATTCAACAATTTATATTCAACAATTGTCCTTTCAAAACATCACTTCAGTAAAATACGTCGAACAAAATTAATATATGTCAGTCATTTTTCTAAACTATTTAATTTGAAAGTGGCTTAAGTCACTTTACCGTAATGAAAAGTGGTGATTTTTTAATGTTTATACGAAATTATTTATACTGAGAAAAATATCAGTATCCTGAGATAACAAATACAAGTAAATCTTCTCGAAAGTTAGCATCCATATTATTAAACGTGTTAAAACGCAAACCCTTAAATATATCGACTTAAAAACAAAGTGGCTTATGCCACTTTCAAAATAAACGGCTCAATTGTCACTTGTAACTAAAAATTAATATCTTATAGTAATCGTATAAATTTCGAAACAACATCGTTTTACATTTTGCGACTAACAGCTTTAACTTGTATAATAAGCATTGTTTTCTTACCGATTTCTTTTGCAAACATTTTTTAGATAACCATTATTTTTGGCCCCTAATTTTCAGGAAGGCCACCATTCCTCATCGGGCGGTTACGCCGAGTCTCCCCCGGACTCGCGCACCTGGAACGAAGAAGAACGTCGCAGGCGACGGAAAAACTTCACTCTGGACTTCATGGGCAGCACCGTGGACACCGACCACGGCGCAGAGCCTTACCCGGATAGCGTCGAAGTTAGCCCGACGCCGAGCCATCGTCACAGACCGAAGGCCAAGTCTACGAGTGCTAAGAGTCCTCACCGGAACAATAGGAAACGTGAAACTGCGCCACCAAGTCAAACGCAACAGCAGCCCCAACAACAACTTCCCAGGAGCCCGCCGAAAGAGGACTGGCGGGTGGAGTCGGCTGAAGACGCCGGCCATGTCCAGACGTCGGACGACTCAAGCTGCAGCCATCATTATCACATGCATCATCATCATCATCATCACGCGCATCGGGAGACTGCCGAAGGGGGAAGGCACAGGAGAACAAGGGAGAGTCCGCGGAAGAAAAGCGGCAGCTATATTTCTGCTCGGAGAAGAAGCAACGAGGTCAGTGAATGTTAATTTTTCATGACGGTTCGTTGCTGCGAGAATTGTTCATTAATTTTCGACATGAACTATTTACGAAAGTATATTTGTGCCCCGAACGTTATGAAAGATAATGTTAGCATTATCTGACATATTGCGAACGCTTCTTGTCCTCCTCGTCGGTGAACACGTTTTTCTATTAGATAACAGAACTCTTTAATTAGTTATTTATAATGAACTGCGTGTAAAATTCAAAGATCGTTTTATGTATGGGTGTCTGTCTTCCTCGATGTCTATCATTGATCAGCTGATCCTCTCGTGAACAACCATCGTCGATCGGAAACCATTATTCCAAAATCGACTTCTTTTGGTTCAATTTTCATCATTGTTGCTATTTTACACCGTTGTAACAATATGTTTTGTCATCTTAAAAGAAATATTGTTCTTCCCCTGTTCTTCAATGAGAACTTAATGTAGTATGTACTTATATTTAACTTGAATCGATATTCAGCATCCTCTTTTTATGACTTCGTTCCACACACCAACTAATATTTTTGTGCTATTTTCGAAAAATCTGTGTGATTTTTCATTGAAAAAATTATTCGATAATAACTTCAATTCCTCACCGTTGTCGAATCTTTCGGTTGTCAACAAATTCTGCAACTAGACGAATTTGTTTAAAATTGGTTTCGCTGTGTATACATGTTTTGTCATGATGCAAAAAAAAAACGGAAAAGAAAAACACTCGGATTTTCGAAGAATTGTCGACATTGAAACTGTTATCATTTTGTAAAAATGAATCGTGTAACAATTTCTTAAGATCTTTTGCTTTCACAGTTCATCGTTCATTTTCTTGTAAGATGTTTTTAAATGGTATAGTGAGTAGGAAATATATTACGCACATTTTCTATTAAACGTAATACTGTTTGAGACATACCTAAAGACATTGGCAAACGTATTTATACTTGTTTACAATGCCTCTTTAAACCTCGATATATGATTTTCTTTTCATCATTTTGAGATTTGAATGTACGATGTGCAGCCAACTTTACGATAATATAAAATATTGTATAAAAAATTGCGTTCTAAGTCACTCGTTACCATTTACAACTCACCTTAGTCAAATGTTCTTCTTGAACAACATTTATAGATACTTTTATCGTTTGTAGCGTTAAAAAGGTGTTTCAATTCTTTTTCATGCTACTTAAAATCCTTACAATTTTTACTTATTTGTGATAGTCAGCGTATCATTGTGTGTTTAACACGAGTAAAGAACCGTTTATCATTTTATTAAAGTTTTTTAAGAACGTCGCTCACTTTTCTACCATATTTGTTTAACATACACACGATATTACTGTTTGATCTAAAAACAAAACAATCGAATAAATCTATTCAACAATTACATTCTCCATTTTCATACGATATTTTTTGCTGGGAGCATGTAGTACGTTACATCTCCATTTCCTCTCTGACGCCGATTGCAAATACTGTTTATTTAGTACGTCGTGTAACGATTTAATTGGATTTTCTAATTCGACAAACTGAAGACAATACAATTGCATACAAGGGTCAGTCGATAACTAAGTTATAGCTCCACGCTAACTTCCCTCCTGAAAGAGATACATACGTACATACATATACATATACATATATAGACTTAGTTGTCTTTGTTTCGAAGTGTTTGTATCCGTCAGAGTTAGATACATTACAGTGACTAACGAGAGAACAAGCCCAATCTGCACTAGTGGAAGCATCACATGCAGGGTACCTTCCAAATTAACAATTTTCTCATCAATTAACTCTAATTATCTGCAGCACCGCATGTTACTAAACTCTCACATGTGTTCTTCAAACACGACTGTAAAATAATTATATCATGAACTATATTCAGTGGCTCTCTTTTATCATGTTGACAATCAAGCAACTATATATGTCACTCAAGTTTTGAAGTCAGTAGATACATTATACGAAATCGACATAAATTAATTATGCAAAAACTGCATACATTAATAGATAAATTATATAAAGTTTACATACATTAGTAGATAAAATATTTAAGGTCTACATATATTAATAGACAAATTATACAAAGTCTACATATATTAATAGACCAATTATACAAAGTCTACATATATTAATAGATAAATTATATAAAGTCTACATACATTAGTAGATAAATTATTCAAGGCCTACATATATTAATAGATAAATTATACAAACTCTGCATATATTAATAGATAAATTATACAAAGTCTACATATATTAATAGATAAATTATATAAAGTCTACATACATTAGTAGATAAATTATTCAAGGCCTACATATATTAATAGATAAATTATACAAACTCTGCATATATTAATAGATAAATTATACAAAGTCTACATATATTAATAGATAAATTATATAAAGTCTACATACATTAGTAGATAAATTATTCAAGGCCTACATATATTAATAGATAAATTATACAAACTCTACATATATTAATAGATAAATTATACAAAGTCTACATATATTAATAGATAAATTATATAAAGTCTACATACATTAGTAGATAAATTATTCAAGGCCTNCCAAGATATACAATGTACTAATGCATATATTAATAGAAGAATTATACAATATATTAATAAATATATTAATAGACCGTCTACCTACAAAACAGACACAAAACCTACAGAACTTACTCAGCAGTCAACGTAACTGGTGTGTGTAGCTGTGTAAGAACGAGAAGATTGTATTTACTTAGAGTTTTTGTCATTTTTATTATCATATATGTACAACAGAACTGCCTTTTAAAAATGAATACTAGAATGCGGTCATTTTGACCGACACGGTAGATTTAGCGTTAAAATTTATCTACCCCATAACTTGAAGCTAATTATGAACGGAAGAACAGTTAGTGCACGCGTTACGCAGAGCGGTTATACAACTGAAGCTGACAACGAGTAATTATTTAAATATAGATGTACACATTGACTTGGCCAAAGAAACTTCTGGCAACAAACGATTTCTTAGAATTAAAGAACGATACACGCCGAATATATCGAGAGATCATGCATTAATAATGCGTATGATTCATTCAACGCTAAAACGTCATTTTTCCATAATTAACAATGTCAAAAAGATGGATAATTTGATACCGTAGCATTCTTTATTCTCTGAATATATCTGACATTTCATATACACCGACTCAATTATTTTTGTACTTACTTTTGTTTTAGTTTAGACTAACGAATCATTATCGCCTCCAACAGAGAAGACTGTTTTCATGCACAATGGAGCATTAAACGTGTTGATTACGTTAATGTGTTTCTTGCGAATTTGGACTGTACACATTGAACGTGCATCGCTAATTCGTCCACAGATATAGATTAACTAGCACAAACCTCTAGTGTTTGTGAAAAACAAAGAATCCATTAATTCCAAGACATTTTTGGCTGTTATTTTGATACAGATCTTGCAATCCGAATTCATCCTTTTCCAATCAAATTCATTCTTTCTCAAATCAAAATCCTTTTACAGGTAATGTTCACATTTTTCCATTAAAATTTATCCTTTTGCAGGGTTATATTCACCTTTTTGAGTCGAAAAATCGGTTTTTACATTTTTTAACAATGACGCACCTGAACGGAGAATCTGGAAAAAATTGAAACCACTGCTTGTGACAGTGTCTTAGCACAGAATCAATATGAAACTGGTACAGTGTTATATTCTCGAGAAAAAAAACGTCTGAAAAAATTCTCCAATATGTGACTTGTGATCCAAAATATGTTACATTTTTCTGAAAATTTTAGGAAGCAACCAAAATGTGAAAATTAGTGAAAAATCGTATGATTTAATATAACCAGCAACCTTCCCCTCACGGGGAAGCTACATGGTTAAAATTTAGGACAAAGAGGTGTTTCATGACCAGCTATCGAATGATGTAATATTCATTGAACAAGCTGTAAAGGCAGATTTGTCTATCTCATCCGGCTAGATCCTTCCATTTGCAAAATAGTGAATATAATTTGCAACAGAGTGAATGTAATTTGCAACAGATATCAGCCCATGCTGGAATAGTGGATAATGAAAAAGTAGATTCACTTGTCAATGAAGCGACCAAAGAGAGTCCCTCGCCAAATATCAAGGCTTCACTTGACATAACAAAAGACCTCAAAGTTCAAGCAAAAACGTCCACCGAAGTCCTAATCAAAGAGTAAGGTCTAGTTAAAGGTATAAAACACTTTAAATTCTATCACAAGAATGAAAGTAAGCCATGGTAGACTGAGCTTGGATTTTCCAGAGATTTTATAGTTTCTGTTAACAGACATCATTCCGATCATTAGAATTTAAATGCTTCATTAGCAAGAGTGAATTTTATAACTAACAGTGCTTACCAATGCAGAGCAAAATTCCAAGAACTGAACAAGAGCAAATACTACTTTCCTCTTTGCATTAGTTCCTTCGTATGTAATCCCGATATACAGAGTGTACCAAAAGTCACTCGCAATCGGGAAATGAGGTGTTCCTGAGGTCATTTAAAGTAACTTTTTCCTTAGCGCGAATGCAACCCGCGGTTTTGTTTACGAATTATTAACGAAAAACGCAGACCAATAAGAGGCGAGCTCGACTTGCACAAGGAGACCGAGCCAACGAGTGGACGAAGCCAAGTTCCGTTCATTGGCTCAGCCGCCTCGCGCCAGCTGATCTCGTCTCTTATTGGTCAATGTTTTTCATTAATAACTCGTAAACGAAGCCGCGGATTGCATTTGCTCTAAGGAGAAAGTTACTTGAAATGACCTCAGAAACCCTTCAAAAACCCCTCATTTCCCGGAAGTAACATAATTTCGGTACACCCTATACGTATTCTCTGTGATCATACTTACATGATAATTTCCCGATTGCAAGTGACTATTTCTTAATTAATAATAAATAAAACAAATAAACAAGATTTAGAAAATTAATAAATAAATATAATTTGCAAAAGAATGAATATGATTTGATAAATGGTGAATACAATTTGCAAAAGAATGAATTAGAAGTACGAAAGCTGTACACACGGAGCAACTTCGATGCTTTCCACACGTGGAGTTCGTAGTTTAGTCTACTTCACGGTTCAGGAATCTTAAAAATGCGAGTGGCGCCGCAGTTATACTTTACAGTATACATTTTCGTTGCACTTTGGAAGGATGCTCGCGACGCGGTATGAGAACACTTTATCTTGATTCCATTTAGGACAAGGAAGCAGCGATAACAGGTAGCCTGCCACGAAGAAGATCACGCGCAGCGGACGACATAGTGTGTTCGAGACTGAGTCCAGGCCGTTATCAACACAGTCCGGGACACAACGGACAACGTGCCATGGTTGTCGAGGCGCAGAGCCCGGAAGCGAGATTAAAGGCACTCTCAGCGGAGTCTTTGAGGTCTGTCAGTCCTGGCAGCGACAGTGTCTTTTACAGCGAGAGCGCGGATCAACTCACTGCCAGCCCCCACGTCACCCCTCAGTGCCATAACTGCGGCAGAGAGGTACATCATTTATTATCAATCCAATTCTTTCCCTCGGAAGAAAGAATTACGTAAATGCTTGAAAGTATGAAACCGAGCGCAGACAGGTAGCAAAGTATTTGAAGCGTTGTTGGTAGTGATATCGATCTTGTGTACGAGTTGAGGAAGATTCGATTGATCGGAGGTCTCGTAGTTGTATCGAACTAATAGATCACGTAGCCTCTAGTGTAGTTAGTTGCTTCAGCCTTGAATTTCTTCTTCTTTTCCTGTTTCCATGGTTCATCAACCGACGTTCCTGGAGAAAAAGATACGACACGTATGCGAGTTTTAAGTTCTCAAGGATACATTCAGAATTCCCTAAATGTTATACAGGGTAATGGAGCCGGTTACTGTGGAGTGACCAATCGCTGTGCCTTTGATTTTGAGCATAATTAATTTTATATTTGTGTTACTTGTGTGTTCAATGAAACTGGAAAATTGTTTGTACATTGTCTCTGGAATATCACTGTACATTCATTCAAACAAATATTATATTACAAAATATTATATTACACTTTTAATGAGACCTATAACTATCCAGAAAAACTAGAATTGTTTAATATAATAATATCATTCAAGAGATTTAAAAACGATTTGTGAATGATAATTTTAAGAAACATGCAGCTTAAGTGTTCATTTACTGGATTGGTCACTCTAAAATCTCTATTAAATATGATTTATCTTTTACTTTCTATTACTGGTTACTTTCCTCAATACTACGTATGAAGTTAAATAATAAATTAAATGTCAACCTTTATTTAAATTGTGTGCAAAAGCATATTATTCTCATAAACAGTGCAGATTACAATAAATATACGGAAGCCATGTAATAGGGTAGCGGATCCAGTTACTGTGTGGTGATTAATCGCTGTGTTTTTGGTTTGTTTTGGAGCATAATTAACTTTATATTCATCAAATAAGACATTACATTTTCTATTAAAAGAGAAACATAACAAAAAAATAAAAGAATTTAACACATATCTTATTCGATAAATACAAATACAAATGAAATTGAATGTGCACACAGATGAAAGATTGCTCATATCTTCACAAATAGAGTAGTAGAACCGGTTACTGTGGGGCGGCAAATTGTGTTGTGCCTCTAGTTTGTTGTCAGGCATAATTAACTTTATATTTATCAAATAAGTCATATTATTACGTTAAATTTTTTTCTATTCTTTTGTTTCGTTTATTTTTCAAATAAAAAAATTTGTACATGTCTTATTCGATGAATAATATTACATATTTATATATTATATACATATTTATATTTATCGAATAATATTACATCTTTTTATTAAGATATAAACAAAGCGAAAGAATGAACAAATTTAATATGCCTGATTCAACGAATGTGAAGTTAATTATGCCCGAAAACAAACCAAACGCAGAGGAATTGTTCACCCCACAGTAACCGGCTCCACTACCCTAAACGGTGTATAAATACAGTAATTTCTCCCAGAAATGTTCGGAGATCGGAATTGAAAGTGGCAGATCTGAGAATACTAAGTTGCGATTCTTCGAGCCTCGCGGCTCGTTTTTATAGAAACCCAGGGCAGTCGGCAGAAAACGACAGCGGTTAGCATGCTGGTGTACATTGATATGAATACATAGTAATGCTAGAATAAAAGCGATGACTTAACTTTTTTATTTCTAATTTTCTGCCACGATTCGAAGCCAATTCAGAGACCATATGTCACGATTCGGAGGCAATTCGGAGGCAATTCGGAGGCCACATGCCACAATTCGAAGGCAATTCGAAGGCAACATGCCATGATTCGAAGACAATTCGGAGGCAACATGTCACGATTCGACGGTCATCACGTATCTTGTAGCTCTGCGATTTTTCTTATCTGATTCACACTCAAACAAACCATTTTGTATTGTCTTCTGGGAAGACGCATCACACGTTTGAACGAATCCGTCGACCCTTATCATAGACGTAGCAATAAATTATATAGGCGTAGAACTAGCGCAGGGAAATTCACAGCAACCCGAAATTTGGAATTTCCGGAAGAAATTACTGTATTATGGTTTATTATATATATATAAACATAATTCATCAATACAATAATTTATTAATATAGGAATCATATTTGATCGAATATCTCGGAAACTACTAGAGCTAGAAGGATGGTTCACATTGCAAACTTGTGTATTTTTTATTTATTTTAAATATGTATGTTTTTTTTCAGTTTTCCATTTAATTCTTAATCCATTTTCTTGAATATTTGTGCGCGCCAAATGTATATCCGACTACAAAATACGAATAAAATAGAATTTTTAATTCTGCAGTTTAACAGAAGTTACTATAATTTACACTTTTGGTCATTTCCGTAAGACGAAGGATTTAAATGTGAGTAATTAAACAAGTATGAGATTTCCGTGATACAGTAAATTCTCCCGCAATTGTCCCTCAGCTTCAAAACGAAAATGGACAATTCGGGAAGCGGAGATACAAGTATTCGAGCTTCGTGACTCGTTTATACAGTTGTTGACAATCGTTGACGACTATAAAAACGAACCGCGAGGCTGGAATAATCGTATCTGGTCTTTCCAAATTGTCCATTCTTTATTACAAGCTGTTGGACAATTGAGGAGTATTTACTGCATGTAGTAACACAAAACATTTCGCTAGAGAAAATAATATTTAAAAAATTGAACAGCAATGATTTTTAACAAGCGCGCAGCTCAAGTGTTCATTCACTGAACAGATCATACTACGTAAAATTTGGACGAGTTTGAATCTATCTGCGGCAAACTGATCACTGCGCACGTATTACTATCTTTTCCTCCAGGAACGTACGTCTTCTATCTGATCGAGAAGCATCGGTTAGCTAACTATCCTTTGACAATGAATCTCAAAAGCTTGCTGAAAAATGACATACGATAGTAAAACCTAGCGAAGAGTAAAAACGAAGACGAGTACGGACGTATTCGAAACATCTGCGGTGTCAGTCCCGATGAAGTTGACGACATCGGTAGTGGAGGAGCTAAATTATACATGAAATTACGCGTCTAGAATCCCAGTAGACCATTAATGAAAAACAATGCCTAGAGTTGAGATCGATTTGTCTCTCTATCTGTCGGTCTATCTACCTCTTTTCTCTATCGTGCGTGCCGTCATGTTGCTCCACCCCGAGGTCTCGGAAGAGATCGTTCGACCGCCGGCAGGTTTCGCGGACTCCCCGGAAGGGCACAGGGCCACCCCGAAGTACGTGCCCGGGCACAGGCTCTACAAGAAGTTCGACAAGAAGTACCGATCGGAGGACCGTGGCGACAGGAGGCATCGGCGCAGCAGCGCGGGCAGATCGGACGTCAGAGCGAAATCCGAGGAGAGGGCCGCCACGAGGCATGGGAGCAGAGGGTCCATCGATGAGAGCGCAATGGGCAGAAAGAGGCTTCACGCGAGGAGCACGGACGTCAGTTTGGAAATACTCACAGGTCAGTCTTTTGCATTAACGATTTACAGTAAGTTCTCTTCAATTGTCCCTCGTCTTTTAAACAAAGGTAGCCAATTTGGGAAGAAGAAATGAGATTATTCGAGGCTCGTTTTCACAGTTGTTAGCAATCAGCGACTGTAAAAACGAGCCACGAGCCTCGAATAATCGTATCTCCTCTTTGCAAATTGTCCATTTTTGTTTACAAGCTGAGGGACAATTTGAGAGAATTTATAGTATTTGGGTACTTTAACTCCTTGGTCTATAATATCGATTCGTTATAGTGATTTCGAACATGATCCGTTAAATCTGGATATTGTTTATATGTTTTAAATAGAAATTAAATTCTACCGCTCTCTGTTATATCAATCAGAGTATACATCGAAGTAAACATTGTCATACAAAAGATGTAAATTATCTTTATCGTGAACGAATTTATTTGTGACAAAGGGGTACTAATTAATATAGTTACGAAAGGAAATGTGGTGCAAGGGGTTAACACAATCGTGGCGTTATTTGGAATATTATACTATGCTGATTCTGTTCTGAAAAATTGTCCTGACAAATTCTACCTTACAATTCAATTCACGTTTTCTGTTCGGTCTCAAACAAATCAGATACAGGATTTATCATAGTGGGCCATTGTATAAGGAGAGGTGGACCGAACTCCTCGCACTCCTGCAATCTTAAATGTTCAATTCTGACAATAATAATTTATAATAATAATTTATTATTATAAAGAAAGAGATTCTGTGTAGCCACAATAAAAGTCGATTCGGTCCGCTAGGTTCTCTAGTGAAACTTTCGCACTAGAGTTTCTATTGTGTGGCGAGCATGTAGCATCCACTACAACTCCGAAAAAAGGTGACCTTGAAAATAATGTTTTTTTTAAATCGCATTCGTCTCTTGATACCAGTTGAATTCGATATAAGAAAATTTTAACGTCACTATTGCACGAAATATTCAGGTGGAAACATTTAGATAAACTACTATGTACAGGGTGTCCCAAAAATGTCTGGCAACCCGTAAATAGGGGGTTCCTGAGGCTATTTGAAGTAACTTTTTCCTTAGTGAAAATGCAATCCGCGGCTTTGTTTGTGAATTATTAACGAAAAATAGTAACAAGTGAGAGGGGGGGGCTAGGCTGGCACGAGACTTGTAAACGAAGCCGCGGATTGCATTTTCGCTAAGGAAAAGTTATTTCAGATGATCTCAGGAACCCCCATTTCCGGATTGCGAGACATTTTTGGGACACCCTGTATAACTGTTATAGACTACTATTTTCGGAGTCGGTTCAAGCTCTGGTTTTTACCAATATGCAATAAAAATTTCCCATTTATTTGAAATGCAGATTGGGCCAAAATTCGTGTTACGAATACGAATCATTACCTATTGCTGTCAGTCAACCTCCTATTTGACAATCTCATATTTTGATGAAATTGCATATATATAGTTTAACCAAAAATATTTCATATCTCTTCTGTCTATCGGACATCCGAATTTACCGGCTGGTGTTATTCCTCATTTTTTAGTAATGTATATTATACGCTGCAGATTTTTTCTGAATATATAAAGTTTTAGAAATCATAAATTTTAAAAATCCTTCACATTGTTCTGCTGAAGCACTTATATTATATATATTTATTGTATTTATTGTACTTATATTATATATAACACTTATATATATATATATTATATACCATATATAAGTATATATATATATATAAGTATACCATATATAAGTATATTGTATTATTATATTTATTGTATCTTTCGTAGTTAGGGGTGCAAAGATTGAAGAAATTTTTAATACGTGTAAAGGTAGCTATCGTCTAATAATTAGAAACTCCAGAAAAGGAAAAAATTGAAAACATAAGAGGAAGTTTCTGACGTTAATCGCACGAAATGTTTGTTTCTGAAGTTTCCAAATTCGTATTTTGCAGATTGACTTGCTAGTTAACCTTAATTTGGAAACCATTGAATTTTGAAGCCGGCGATTGGTTTTTCAGATTTGATATTAGCTATTAGACAAACTGTCATTTTGATGAAAATGAGTATAAGTTTCATGAACTGCAACAAATCAACAGCGGATCTTCATGACATTTTGAAGTTTGTAAAACATATGAAAACTTCAACATTGGTGAACACCAAACTTATTTTTACTCTATTCTTACCTTCAGCAATCTATTACTTGACGAACTTCGTACTTATTCTACTTTTTAATAAAATAATCAGTATAATTATGTAGCATATAAAAGGCACTGTTAGAATATCTGCGAAATTGTTAATTTTTCGATTGTGTGCATAGAACAACGTTGAAACGTTTAGCATTACATCTTTCTGAAACGAAAAATATAAGGAATACGAGTTGTCGTCAACGCGAGTTGTTTTTTCAGGCGATAAACTTGGTTTTACGCCTGGGATAAAAATTGGTTTTTATTTTTCTCAATTACAGCGCAAAAGAAAAATATGAAAAAATGTTCTGATCACTGTAACGCTGACATCTTTCTGCCGCCAAAACATAGTCATCATACACTTCCAACTTCCATAAAATATCTGCAATTTTTCGAATTTCTTGGCGATTTTCATTTTTTGCATTTAGGATTGTCAACATAAAAATCGGGAAGGATTCTCAAAAATGTACATCAACAACCACGACAGGTCACATTTTTTAGAAAATTATTGTGATCATTTAAATAAGGAGAATCGATCGAAAACCGCCAAATCGAAGACACCTCTTATCCATCCATCAGCCGTTTAAATCAGCCTAATCTCCCTTAACCCTTATGTTAATAATCGGGTATCCTTTTGCATATGCTCCTCAAAATAATGTTCTTTCTTCCCGATAAAATATTTCAATATCCGTTCAGATCATCGTTATTTGGCACATTTCCTATCAGTATCTGTTTCGAGTCTACAATTTTGTTATCAGAAAGTACTAAAATTAAACGATAATGTTTCAGATATGGTTGTTCAACAATAGAATACCTTTTGCATATCTTCCTGAAAATAATATTTTTTCTTCCCGAAAAAATATTTCAATACTCGATTAGATCGTCGTTATTCGGTACATTTTCTATCGATACCTGTTTCGAGTCTACAATTTTGTTATCAGAAAAGTACTGAAACCGAACGATAATGTTTGATACAGGTCTTTTCAATAACCCGGGTACCCTTATAGCAGGGTTCCCCAAACAATGAATAAAAACAATATTTTATTGCGGTAATAAATATGAAATAAATAAAAATGAATGTTTACATAACTATATAAAAGTTATATAAAACAGTAACGTAATATAGCAGCTCGCCATCGCATCAAAGGTACGCCGCGGGTACTTGGGTCATAGAACAACGTCGAGAATTTTGGTTATTGACATAAGGGTTAACCGTCTATACCCTCTACTTGGAAGATCTTCATCTCGAAAGTTTCGCGAAGAACTATTCCCTCTGTTTCCCGCAACTCGCATAAAACACATTCTAATAAGGACTTGTATGCCGCGCGTCATAAAAAGCCCGTTTAAGAAGTTCTGCTGCATAAACTTCATTAACTACTTTCATATCTACCAGGAAGCGCGTTATACGATGAAATGGATGTACCAAGTATTGCGGAACGAGGATAATAAAGGTGGGCAACCGTCGCTCTTGTAAAAAGTTACGTAACAAGGCAGGATTGAAAAATTGAGGGCAGCTACCTACTGTGTCGCTTGGGAAAGTTTCGCTCGCGCGTTTCTGTTACTTCTCATCTTCTTTTGCGGAAATTTCTTGGTTCCGTTTACGTTGTGAATTAGCGTTACTCGCAACCGGTACACGAAAAGATGAAATATTGCCGTTTTAATTAGTCTTGTTCATTCCGCGGTCGACTACAGGCTTTGGTTTTTTAACCATCGCGCGATTCGCGAGTCAAAATTGACTCGTTCTTTCTTTTCATAAAAGCGGGGATCTTGTTTGTCGGAAAACGAACGTTTCTCGCAACTCTATACTGAGTGTCCTCGAAATAGGTAACCAAACTTTGCTATCGTATTCTGCACTCCTTAAAGATGAAAAGAAGTCATATAAACATAGGTTCGGAAACTCTTTGTTTTCGAGATACAGTAAATTCTCATTTTCCGGAAACAGCATAATTTTAGGACACCCTGTATATTTGATTATTGTCGACAATCGGTAACTATAAAAACGAGTCGCAGGGCTCGAATAATCGTATCTCCTCTTCCTAAATTGTCCTTTTTTGCATAATCTAAGCGTCAATTAGGGAAAATTCACTGTAAATACTTTTTGTTTGCGCTATTAAATTTTTAAGACTTGTAACATATTTAAAGAAATTTACTGGGAATGATTTCCCTGTATTCTCTGATTTCTCTTTCCGGATACGTTGAAAAAGTCCTGGTGCATTTCGAATTTTGTCACATGCCGTGATAATCAAATGTTTTAGCGTTGCGATATTATCGATAGCATTATCTGTCGGTACTATTAATTACCTTACTATAATTTGCAATTATCTCAATAACGAACAGTATCCGGATTTATGTTTATATTACCTTTTCTCATCCTTAGGGAGTGCAGTATACGATATTCAAGTTTGATCACCTATTTTGGGGACACCCTGTGTATAGAATTGACGGTGCATAGGATCATTCTCAGCTACAATGATTATTTTTTAAAAATCCCACGCCAAATCAATCACTCCCTCCCCCCAAACTGAAATATGATGAAGTCCATCTGATATTAGGGGAGGAGGGAATACGTCATCATTTCGCTAATTTCGAATTTGTTTAAAATATACGGTGTCCTGTAATTTACGATTTTTGCCCATTTTTGCAAAAATGAATTATACTTAGAAATTTTTATCTCGAAAACCATTGCCCTTATCAAGATGTACTTTCATTAGCTTTATTTGGGAAGGATTCACTCTTTCATATCAATTTTGATCTAATTGAAAAAGTTGTTTTTACAACATTGAAAATTACAAAGAAATTCTTATTTCTTAAATGTGGGTTCCAAGTCGCG